AACTTTCTCCTGAGCTTATGTATGATGTCATCCTTAATTTTATTTTTATTCTTTTTGACAGTACCTTTGCTAATGTCATTAATTACATCCCATGGGTTTTAAGTGTAGTAACCCTGAACGTTTAAATTTTTTTCTACTTACATTCCATAGAAACCATCAAGAATCAGTTTGATTGCAATGGGGCAGAAATGTGTTAAATAATCCTCACAGAATGTGTCCAAAGGGTTGCTTTCTGGCCCACAGGATTTGTGCAATTGGGAGTAATTTCAAGTTATTTGATCTGTGTCATAACTAAACTCACTTAAAAACCCTAGCTTGTTTAATAATTTTGTGTATGTTTTGTATTCTATGGACAGATAAGGCACTGAACTATTCTGATTTGCAGAAATTGCTAATCAATTTCTAAAACTGTTTGAACATCTTTCTGATGGCTTAAATATTTGAAAAAACACCTTACAAGAGCCTTGATATAGTTGTTGCTTCTGTTAAGTACCTGCTTTTAGCTCATACCAGCTATTTTGATTAATGAAGATATCTACCGGTTCAGAAATTAATGCACAGTAATTCCATAGATGGAATACTTCCCATGTTCTATGTTTCTCATAATACTTTCAACCATTTTTCTACATTGCCATTTTGGCATTTCTTGTATCAAGAACTGATTCAGAAAAGTTAGCATAAGCATTCTCTTGATGCCCTGTTGACTTGAGAATCTTCAAAAAACTATCTAGAATGAGCAACTGATTGCAGTAATTATCCTTTTATTTGAAGTATCTGATCATTGTACTATACATTTTTAAAAATTTAATTGTAAAATTTAATTGTATTTTTAACATTTCTAAAATTTTCTATTTTAAAAATTATGGTTTTAATTGCAAATGATAAAATATTTATTTAATTGCAAGAATTCCTATTATTTATCAGTTAATAGTGGTATCAAACCTTTTTAAGTACTATCCTCCCACACTGTGAAAGTCAATGTGAAGCCAGAGAAAAATAAACGCACCAGCATTTATCTCAATTTAATTTAGTAAAAGAAACCCCAGTCATTACAAAATATTTCCATAGATAAAATACTAATCAAGTTATTTGACTTTATAATCCCCTTAGGAGTGTAGAGGGGGAGAGGAAAATATTTTTCCATCCCCATTTTGGCTAGAAAGACACGCTTTGGATAGAACTGTACAAGTTTGAGCTTGTTTGCTTTTAGATCCAAGGCACCTTTGCTTTTTCTACTTTCTGAATCTTCATGAATGTCTATGTGACAACTGATGGTAGTATCAGAACACAGGACTGTTCAAGTTAGCCATAAAAGCTGGAAAATAAACTTGAGCCTTTAGAGATGTAGTGTGAAGGACAGTTCTTCCCCTAACAAATATCACCAAAGCTATTTGCCTTTGAGGGGCACAAGCAAATCCTCAATTTTCAGGATGTAGTTGCTTTCTACCCCTCTCTCCAGATTAAAATGGATTTGAAATTTTAAAAACTGCTTTTTTGCTTTGCTTTTGCAAGATCCAATTATGTCTGAGGCTTTGTGGTTTTATATTTGGATTTTGTTCAAATCGGATGCACATTCATAACTGCAAGTTTTGCATATTAAAGTGGAATTTTTGCACCTGGAAAGTTAGAATTGTATTAAAGAATTCCTAATGTAATACACAGGGTTAAGAAAGAGTATCACAGAGAAATGTTAAGAAGATTTGCTTCAGTAATTCCACAGAAAATACATACGCGGGATTTTATACCAAGTGTATTATAGAACTAAACTAATATAAAAATCTTACATAATTCCTAGAGAAGGTAATTAAAATCTAACACCAACCTTTGTTCTTTTGTAATAAAAAAATACTTTACAAATCTTTAAGCTTGGCAACAAAGTGCTGAAGTGGCATTATCACTTATTCATAGATTTATTCCTTCTCTAGGCAGGCATTTCTGTAAGAACCCACAAAATAGCAAGATTCCAGTGCAACAAGCTTAGAAATAAGCTCAACTGGTATTTGGTTAGAACTTTTCATTTTCTGGAATGCAAAATAATTATTCTTGTAATTACACAGATGTACAGAAGTTGTGATCTTGGCAATAATATGGAAATACTGTTTTTATTTCCCAATGTAGTCTGCAGACTGGGAATAGCCTATGGGCTTCCTATTCCAATAATAAACAAGGCCAATTATTTCATTTGTTCCAGATTAAATCAGCTTCCTTTGTTCCGTCACCTACTGTAATACTGGAAGGTTCCACTTAAAGTGAAATATTTACCCAGCCACCCAGCCCCACCCCCAATGTATGAACATCTCTTCTGGGCACCTTGTTTGGCTGTCATCTCAACCTGTTGTCAGCACTGAAATCCCACACAGTAGCTATTACAAGGACTCTGTCTCAACCTGCTCTTGCTACAGCAAGTACAATAATAATTCCAACCCAGGATTTCCTGCCTTCTCCTAATGAATTTACTTTCTAGTTTTTATAGTCAGAATAGCCATGGAGATACAAAAGAAATGTGTCAGCGTTCCGAGTAATGCACCCACCAAAAGCAGAACTGCAAAGCAGGCCGAGTTCCTCAAAGAACATGTTTACTGGATGCATCATATCGGCACAGCCGGTGAAAACCAACTTTAAAAGTTCCCACGGTTTTCACCTAATTAAAAGAGCAAAAGTTCCCACTTCCAGATGTCACCCATCACATTGTCCAATGAAAACAGCTAGCAGGCTGCTTGGTCATTCCTCTCCTCCTTCAACAGCCACCTATTGAGATGACCTTGGTTCCCACAGGAAAACTTTTTGTTTCGACTGTTAGCTGATTTATCTACTTCCCCCCTCCCTTCCCCCTCTCAGGGTTCGTGGTAACTGAGGCAGCAAAAGATGGCTTCAGCCAGGTTCACTTCGGAGTTGACAAAAGGCTTTTCTCTTTATATAGGTATAAGGTAAAATTTGTCTTAGCCAACTTTAGGGGGCGGTGCTCATCTCCGTTTCTAAACCATTGACCCTGTCCAAAGATGTTTTTGTGGTCATCTGGCTAACTAGACATCACGCCGCAGAGCATGCAGCGAAATACAGAGCTCTGATACCTTCTCACCAAAGTGGTACCTATTTATCTACTTGCATTTGCATTCTTTTGAACTGCTAGGTTGTCAGGAGCTGGGACAAGTAACGGGAATTCACCCCATCATGTGGCGCCGACAAGCCCAGCGTCTTAACCACTGAGCCATTGCACCTCTCTTTATATGCCACTTCTAATTTCTACATTTATTTAATTAAAAAATGCCAGTTTAACTAACAGAGACAATAGATGAAAATTATTATAATTATTCCATGTTGTTGCCTATTTGGCAGAATATCATCGTCATCATCATCACTACCACCACTTTTATACAAAAGAAAAGTAATTGTGATTGTGGAGACACCAAATTGTCCACTCTGAGAAAGGAAACAGAAGTTTGTATGATGTTTGCTGCCTTGAGTTGACCTCATTTTTTGGAAAAAATGGTGGCTAAAGAAAACAAGTTACAGTTATGAAGACTATACAGTTTTTATTCCCTACCAAGTATCTTTGGAAGGGTTTAACTATATATATAGTTTATTTTATGTTGGTAATATATTATGTAGTAGAAGAGAGTTTCACTTTAAAGTCAACAATATAGTTTAATATATAACATTTATTTGGACCATTTTCCTTATCCAAAACTAACACTGCTGTTTCTTTTCAAAGGCAGCTTTCCAGAAATTCTTGCAGCATTTAGAAGAACAAGTTTAAATGTAAGCAGCTAAAGTTGTCACTGAAGTTAGCTCATCTCTCAATAGGGATACACAGCACCTTAAAAGGGTTCCAGTCACTGAAGTATGGAGTATAATATTCTTAATTATACATTAAGTATATCTTAATTATATCTTAATTCTTAATTGCCAAGCAGAATTTACATAAACAATTCTTTTTTTAAAATTTGTTTTCTATCCTGAAATTAACAGCTAAGTTTAGGGGATTTCTGAAGCATTTTGCACAATAGCTAGATGGGGGAGAAAAAAATGGGAACTTGATACTAACCAACAGAGGGTGCAAAATAAAACATAGCCTGCAATGTAATGCACACTTATTTGGAAGAAAATATCTTGAATTTAGTTTAAATAAGGTTCCAAAAAGCCCAGAGAGGACCAACATTTGCACTGATTGAGGTGCTACAGAGTTTAACAAACTGGTGTGAGAATAAGAAATCTAGAAGCTATTACCAAAACTATCAGCAGATATTCTACCACCTTCCCAAAATAGACATGCCTCATCTCATTTGCACCTAGAATGCACAAAAAGACCAAATCAGTTTTGCAGCAAGATTGCTTAAAAGTTTGTCATCTGAAAGAGTAGTGCTCACTGGAACATTTGAGTTGTAACCTTAGACCTTTAATAAACACTATTAATCAGATTCTGAGAGACTTTGCATTAACTGTTTCCAGTCCAGATTGCTAGAATAGTATGACAGCTACAGATAGTCCTCGACTTACGAACATAACTCAACCCAAAATTTTTGTTGCTAAGCAAGAAAATTGCTAAGTGAGTTTTGTCGCATTTCACAATCTTTCTTGCCATAGTTGTTAAGTGAATCACTGCAGTCGTTATGAAACATGGTTGTTAAGTGAATTTGGCCATTGAGTGTGCTGTTCAGAAGGTCGCAAAAAGTGATCCAGAGATGAATACAGAGAGCGCTGTTAAAGCACTGTGAAGCAGTATATAAGTCTTAACTGCTTTTGCTATCACATGACCCTAGGACACCGCAGCCACCATAAATTTATGCCAGTTGCCAAGCAGTTAGATTTTGGTCACGTGATCATGGGGATGCTGCAATAGTCATAACAGTCATAAGTCACTTTTTTCAGTGCTGTTGTAACTTCACTAAACAAATGGTTGTAAGTCGAGGAATACCTGTAATTTGATTGGGATCCTGGCAAGGTGAGGAGAAACTAATCCATCCTTCCGTAATATAGTAAAAACTGAATATTCAGATTACCTGTTAGAATAAAACCTAGTTCCATCATGTGGATAAGAGTCATCTACGTAGAGAGAAGAGGAAGAAATTGTGGTTGCTAAAGAAGCGGCTTCAAACAGAGATGCTGTGCTTGGCACTAAATCTGGATGATGTCGGGAGGCTAATACTGTATAGGAAAAAAGGGGAAAAAAGGTCACTCCTGCAGAGAAATTAGTGTATGTAAAAATCAAGGGCTTACTTGCCGTGAAAACACACACACACATACGAGATATAAAAACGCTGTGTTTGTGTGATCATCCACAGCTTCATTAAATAGGGGTTTATGAAATTATGGATTAATATTGTGGCTGGGTGTGCCTTTCTCCTTTTAAATCCCTTATTGCATTCTGCCTTTGAACCAAAGATCTTGATTTATAGTGTGTTAAGATAATGCTCAATCTTAATGCATATTAAATTGGGGTTTGTTTTAGGTAATCTGCTATTATTATCTATTATCTTCAGAAAAGCTTAAAACATTTTTTCTATTTGTTTAAACAAGAGGTGTACAATTATTTTAGGTCAAGGACTGCATTTGAGTTTTGGTTGATATAGCAGGGGGTTCATTTGAGAGAAGTAGGCAAGTCTAGCATAAAAGCTGATTTTAATGCAAATATAATTAAATATAATTGATATTATTTTTCAGAAGACTTTAAATCAATTTGACAGCTTTTGAAAGGAGTCTGGAGGTTCTTAGGTAGGGAATTAGGGAGTTTCGTTATTTACTATTCTTCTGGAATACCAGAATGTACATCTCTGTTCTAAAACTATCACTTTTTCCTTTTGGTAAAGAATGCTAGTTTTGGAATCTCGAGCATCTTATTCTACTGAAAATTACCTTCTTCATCAAGGCTACAGTAACTTTGTCCTTCTGTGAGTAAATCATGCTTTTCATCTTTCCAGTCTTGGCTAACTACTGACACATATTCTTGTGATGTAGCTTTTAGAGCAGCAATAGAATTGCATCGTTTCTTGGAAGGAGATGACTTCAAAACTGGGGTTTTAAAAGGGAGATAATGAAAGTAATGTAAATATAGATTATTTTTATAGCCAACTTTCCATTATTATGCAAACACTCCCTTTCACTGGATGTCCCAAAAGAGATTTGAACAGATTTTACTCAAATAACTGCCATTATCATAAATATGACACAATCATTTGTCTTCAGAAAAATCCATAGTATGTGCCAGAAATAGCAGATTTTAGTTATAGGTTAATAAAACTTGAACTTAACTTTCATATGGCAAGGCGTTACTAAGAGGCTAAGTATAGGTTATAACAATGAATAGCACTTGTTCAATTTTTTGTATCTGGGACAAGAGAAACAATTTTATGGCAGTACAGATAAAAAATTTCTTGCATATAACGTAAGGGGAAAAAACAGATTCAAAGTATAATCCAAAGTAAAATTCAATCTTAGTCAATTTTTCTGGATAGCCACAATGATTTAAGAACTGCAGTGAGTAATTTAATGTGATGAGCTATAATATTCATTTTTATAATAAGATTTAAAGATTCATCTGTTCCTATGTAAATAGGAAATGTTATCTGCATCTAAAGATCTGTACTGGTTGACAAAGTGCTGCTTCTCTGGATAGAGCAGCCCAATGAATGTTAAGTGATATTGACAAGACATTGAGCCCTCATTGAGGAGATGAAGGTTGGCTCTCCCCTAACCCAGCCAACCTTCATCTCCTGCATAGGGAAGAAATGCTAAATTCAAATGCATGTTCCTCCATTAAAGGGACTGGATAGAGATATGGCATGAACAAGATTATTTTTCATATCAGTCTGACTAGAATAATATCTGCCCATATCATCATTATATAAACATCATGGAGTAACACAGGGATCCATTAGAATTTAAGGATAATTCTTATAGCATCTTGCATGTGTAAACAATCTCAAATACAATCAAGAATATTTTCCAAATTTGTAATATCCCTTACACTGAATATTATAAGAATCTATATCTAGATGTACTTACAAGATTTGTAACTAAGTTCACACACTATTAATTGCTCTAACCATAAACTTTCAAAATGGTATAATCAGACTACTAAAGAACATACAGCCACAAAACACTAGAACGAAGATACAAGGGGCTGTGTGTAATCCAACTACTTAAAATTATGTATCTGTAGTGACTTGGAGGAATTTCAGAGTTCTAATGTGTTCCATGGGTGAATGGACTTCCCCTGAAACATAGATACATATCAATCAGCCAATTGCATCAGCTTTGGTGCATGTAATCAAGCCAAGGTTCAGCTTCTTTTTGTTCCAGTTACATGTCTTTCAAAAAGGAAATTCCATTTGCAATTAATGAACACCTCTGCTGAAGTGGCTGAGTTTTGTTTTATCTGTCTTACTGTTCAATAGCTAGGCAATGATTTGTCGAAACATCTTTATTTACTTACTGACCAGAAGACCAACTCTAATTAGCTACTGGTTTCTCCAAATCTTGAAAATTCATGGAAGAATTTTCAGTGGTCCTGAATATTTTAATGATCCAGAACTGCCCACTCAAGGCTTTCTCAACTGTAAACTTGAAATTATAAACTCGAGCAACAGAAAGCATCATTATCTGGAACTTAAGTATATAATTTGGGAACCCCTGTTAATCCGAACAAAGCTCCATCTAATCCAAGATCCATTTTATCTTGCAACAAGCAAACAGGAGTTCCAAGAAGCCAACATCAGAGGCTTTTTGCCAACTACCATGGCAGCAATTTACAATATCAGACTGTAGTACTTATATTATATTCTGTACTGTCAGTCCAACCTCAGAGATTAAGTAATCATGCAAGTGGGGCCCCTCTAGAAAAAAAAAATGTTAAGAGTCGCTTTAGTTAGTTCATAATATGGTGGTACCTACGCTGATTTTTTTTGAATACTCTGGTACTCATAAACTTTAAAAACCTGTCAGCATAAAAACTTGGTCGGTGGACTGAAACTGTATCCTACAAAGAAACAAAAAAGTTTTGTCAGTAAGAAAAGAGGAGAGGATGTATAATCTACAGATCAAACAACAGAACATGAAACTAACATTTAGTATTTTCTTTTCACTGACTTTTCAAGTTTTTAGCATACCATTAATTTATTAAGTAGCGTAATACTTAAAAGAATATTGCATCATTTAAAAAAAAAATTACAAAAGCAATTTGAATATTTACTTAAATTATAAACAAATAAACAAACAAACATTCAACAATCCCTAGAAAGTTAGTAAAGTGGCTTTTTTCCAGACTTGCCTCCATAAATTTTTGGTGCTCCAAAACTGGAAGTTTTAAAGAAGAGATTGGACAACCATTTGTCTAAAATGGTATAGGGTCGTGATGGCGAACCTATGGCACGCGTGCCACAGGTGGCACGCAGAGCCATATTAGTGGGCACGCCAGCTCAGCTCTGGGGCGCATGCGCGCGCCGGCCAGCTGATTTTTGGGCCTTCTGGGCCCACCAGAAGTAGGGAAACAGGCTGTTTCCTGCCTCTGGAGGGCCTGGGGGCGGGGTGGGGAAGGCCCGTTTTTCTTTCTTACCTGGCTCCAGATCCTCTCTGTGTATCTGGGAAGGTCGAAAACAGCCTTTCCCACTCCTTTGGAGGCCCTACGGAGGCTGAAAGGGCCTATTTCCCGACTCCCGGTGGGACAGGAAGTGATGTTTTTTCCTGTCCCCAGCCTCTAGAGACTCCTAGAGAGGCTCCTAGAGACTCCTAGAGAGACTCCTAGAGACTCCTAGAGAGGTTCTGGAGGCTGGGGACAGCAAAAAATATCACTTCCTGTCCCACCGAGAGTTGGGATATGGGCCCTTTCAGCCTCCATAGGGCCTCCAAGGGAGTGGGAAAGGCTGTTTTCGCCCTTCCCAGATACACAGAGAGGATCTGGAACCAGGTAAGAAAGAAAAACGGGCCTACCAGGCCATCATGTGCCAGGAGCGGGGAGGGGAGGGGGGAGGGGCTTGCACACGCATGCGCGTGGGCACGTGCGTGCGTGACCCTCCCCCGCCCCCCCTCTCCTGGCATGCGATGGCAAAAAGGTTAGCCATCACTGGTATAGGGTCTCCTGCTTGAGCAGGGGATTGGGACCAGAAGGCCTCCAAGGTCCCTTCCAACTCTATGGTTCTGTTAGTTCCTGACACACCCAAAATGAAAAGACAGTCTAGTTATAGTTGTTTAAAGAGATGGCAAAGCTCTATGCACAAAATAGATGCCGCTCTTATTGCTAAACAGAATAGAGGCAAAAAAGGAGCTTTCCACCTTACATGAACCATTGACATAATTCTAAAAACCATTAAAATGACTTACTCCGTCATAAACAAGGGCTTTCCAAGAATGCTCCAACTTCTTTATTAACCTGATGACGATATACCACAAAAAGGAGTTTAATAAACAATTATCCCTCCCTTTGGCAACAATACCGCTTTAACTGCACAGAAAGCAATGAATATTATTTTAAATTTACCTGTAAGACTGCAAGATATCAATTATGCCCATAAATAGCAGCAGTTTTTCTCCTCTGTAGCTTTTAGCTGGAATGCCTCCCATTCTGACAGAAACAACAAAATAATAGCAAGTCATTGTAAAGCCTACTTTCTAAAGTAACCATAGAAATATATTAACAGCTAAAAATGGCCTTCTTAATATATGTAGTGAAAAGGTTTGCACCATATGGTAAGGGCTATACAATTGTCAAAAATGGATTTAAGCAAGTCTCTTTCCCCTCTCAGTTTGACTACTTTTCTCCATGTCTGAAAATTAAGATTATGCATTCCTCTGGTGTATTCTTTTTCAAATAGCTGTGTCACAGTTCTAATAATACTGGGCATTTAAGGATGCATTTCTGTGATTTTGTATACATAAAGTACATAGATAAGTCAATTGTTTTTTGACCCAACATTTTCGGGGATGGAGTGGTGATGAACTCAGAGGTCACGGTCCAATTATTTGGGATCCTGACATTTTGCCAGGAATTATGTCTCGCATCCTCAGAGGCTAAAGTGATCTGCTCTGTACTATATTTCTTAGTAGTTCACTGGCAAGATTTGTTTTTTAAAAAGTCCACTTGACTTTACCTTTTATTGTTCGTCAACTGGATGACAGTCTGACCCATTTTAAATGTAGTACACAGAACAGAAGAAAAATATTAAAAAATCCAGTAACTTTTTGTTTTCAAAGGGCTGGTTACGAGAGACTTACGTATTGGTATTTTCTGTGATGACACAGTCCCCTGATTTTCCTGGACCTTGAATGGACTCCATAGCAGTTGAATAAAGAACTCTTTGTCCTCCTGGGCGTTTAGAATCAGAGGTGTTTTGAGAAAACTCCCCTTCTCTCTCTTTTGCTGAACTGTCCAAGATGTGGATGCCAAGCAACAAACTATAATCCATGATTTTAAAGCTTTCCAGCACCTAGGATCAGATGTTTTAGACTGAAATCTGTTATGTTGCAAATGGTGGAAGAGTTTACAAGAAAGATAAATGAAATATACTGAACAGAGAGAAATAATTACTTTAATTTGATATCCCAACAAAAATGATCACATCTAAATTTAAGTTTTTAAATTTTTTTTGCCAGACTCAGAATAAATAGGAGTCCCTCGTGTCTAAAAAACACTAGTTTTCTTGTTTTAATATACCCTTAGCATTCAAACCCCAAGAGGGAAGGTGGCAAAATGTGGGGTGCAATACAATTATAAAGATACACAGCTGACTGAACAAACTAACTTACAAATGTACATCACTAGCTGAAAGCAGGTGACTAGTGGAGTAAGAAGGGTTCCGTTTTAAACTTTATGCTATTTAACATAAAATGATGAAATTTATAACCATTTAAAATAAATAAATTCAATATAAAGCATACAATGCAGTAATAAATACAATTCTGTTGTAAATATATATTACTTTAAGGAGATTACAGATATTTCATGTTTTTGTCATGGCAGTGAGAAAACTATATGGAATATTTTTCAGATAGTTATTTGCAATATATTTTGAGTTCCCAGAATTTTTTTTTAAATCGCCCCTGAATTTCAAAAGCAGAATATAGAAATTCTAAAGTCTGAAAAAGCTTTGATTTATAACATAGATTAATATTTGGCTTGGATATTAATTGGATTTTTTTGGAAAGGAACAATTATCTTATTTCTTCTTCAACATCCTTTGAGAGGTGAGGTTGGTATAATCAATTAAATCTACTGTGAAACTAAAATCTGCATAAACTTAAGTTTCCTGCTGATACAAAATTGCTTCAGGATTTGAGACATAATTGCTTTTCCTCTTCCCCTTAATATTTAGAATATTGATGAAAAGAGAATTTGACCTCATTCTCCCATAGAGTGGGATCAAAAATGATATATAAGTGGAATGAAGAAAAAGACACATGAGAATAAATGTAGTAGTTTTTGTGGTGTATGTATCTCCTATTATTATAACCCAATTTAAAGTATAGAAAATGACCAAATATTGGAAGTCCTGGTTTGAAAAATGTAGGCTGAAGAGGAACTTTATAAAATTTTATTTTTCTCTATAATCTACATAATTCCTTGATTGCTGTTTCCTAATGAATTTGAACACTGGAATTTCATTCCTGCCTATCCTAGTCTGTGCCTATTTTTTTTCAATTGAAAACCAATATTCCAGATAAAATCTGCACAATATCATATCTCAAGCACAAGAGATAAATAAAATTCCAAAATTCTGAATGACAGATGAACAAATTTGGAAACTTGTTAGGAAGAGGGAGGGGGATCACATATTCACACTTCTTCAGGATTTATAGAGAGAGGAAGAGATTATCTCTATCAATTACACCACAGAATGGTGAGCAACAGCAGAGAGGAAGTAATCTGTTCTCTTATTTATTATTCGTTTATCTGATTTATCTTATAATCATTTATTTAGACTGATATTCTTGTATCACAAGAATTGTCAGTGGTTAGTGGAACAGTAAGATCTATAACATAACAATTAAAACATCCACAGTAAATCAATACAAAATTAGAAAATAAAAGTAAAACCACCCATACAATGGCAGCATCCCAATTAATTTCTTAAAACCCATCAGATTGATTTAGTGTTAATTAGCTTCCAGCAAGTTATAACAGAGGAGCACAATCTACTTCTGGCGCCAAAAGGAGGCTATTCCGAAGCCTCCTACAGGTAGTCCTCAACATACAACCACAATTGGGATGGGAATTTCTGTCACTAAGCAAAGTGGCTGTAAAGCCTAACATCATGTGTCCACATCGCTTAGCAATCAACAATCCCAGTTGCCCTTGTAACTTGATAAATGGGTCATTAAAGCAGGAAGTGGGGGAAGTCCCAGGTAAGGAGCTGGAGCTGTTGCAAGGAAGTGCAGGGTGGTCTGGTGCAGGCTACACACAAGTTGGGTGTGTGTGCAGTATACCACAAGCTAAGGAGGTAAAGGAAAGAATGTGCAGAGTGAATGCATGCAAGCACAGGGAGGTCAAGGAAAGAGTACATTTGTGGCTCAGGAGCTTTTTGGCGTACTGCCACTCTGAAGTTACAGGAAGTCCCTGAATCACAGTGTAATGTGAAATCTAGTCCCAGGTCAGGCCAGCACCATAGCACAAAGGAGCTTATTGGAATTTTGCAGCTCTGAGATTGCAAGAAGTCCTGAGCCATAGCATACCCCCGAGCCCAGCCCCAAGCAGCATGGTGTGAAGGGACTTCTTGCTGTCCCAGGAAATTGCAAACCAGTCCTGGCCATAGTCACCCTCGTCACCATGCACTCTGAGGCTCATGCCATGTCTTAAGTGAGGCCAGACTGCTAAGGCTCAAATTTTGATCACATGACTGTGAGGGCAATACAGTGTCCTAATTATGGAGAGACCATATCCTGTGGTGTCACCACCACTTCATTCTGTGACACCATAATTTTGAATTGTCATTGAATGAATGATTGTATTACTGCTCTTACTAGGAAGCAATTTTATGAAACTACTTGCTGGGGATTCCTACTCTAAATTAAGGCAGCGTCTCCAGAAAACCATCTATTGCTATTTAAATTCCAACATGGAACCTAAGAGCTCTATGGAATCACTAAATAATGAATGAGTAAATGAACAAAATACATTTTCTTTATATATTGCTAATAACACAATGATTTACACCCTACATTTTAGGATACAATGCTGTCAGGCATTATTATTAAAATAGCATGGACATTTAAATTCAGTCCATGCACTTAAATCCATGCACTTTATTATTATTTATTAAACCAATTTATATAGTCAGCCATCTCACAAACAAGAAACTTTGGACAATGTACAACAGAGCTAAAATCAGTTAATAAATACATTAAAACTATAAAAACCAAGCTAAAACAAAGAATAATAGAAAAAAAGGGATATTTAAAATAGCAGAGCCAGATCATTAGTTCCACTGTCCCCTGGAGTCCCCAGGCCTGCTGGCATAACCAAGTCTTGGAGGACTTCTAGAAGTTCAACAACAACTAGAGCAGTTTAACCTCAGGGGGAAAGAAGACTGCACAGTGGGAACACTACAGTAGAAAAGGTCCATCACCTAGGCCTACTAAATGTAGCTTCCTAGGTAACAGAACCTGTAATACTGGATCTGATATGATCTCTGTTGGATCTGATAGGACAGGTAAATAAAATCGAGACAACGCAGTCCCTCAAAAAACTGATGTCATGCCATGAAGGGCTTTAAAGGTCAACACCTTGAATTGGATTAGGAAACAAACTGGTAACTAGTGCAGCTCACGAAGCAGAGGTGTGATATGTGTTCTACCAGAAACACACATATCTTGCTCGTGCCACTGCAGCTGAAGTTTCTAGATACTCTTCATGGTCACTTATATACCTAAAACACAACTCCTAGACTTGCTTATCCTCCTAACATTTTAGGAATTCAAAGATGAATGACTAAAAAATATCCAAATAGTGAAAACAGAAATACATTTTGAGTAAGTATGAAAATACATATAATTTATATCTTACACCAATTCAACAGTCAGTGAGTAGCTCCCTGAAAGTATTTTTTTTTCCAATATGCAATCTTTTAAAGTGAATATATTTTAGGCATTTAGGCCAGATTTTACATCACTTAAAATAGTTTGGTTTTAGCGTAAGGGCCTTTTAAAACATTCTTATAATTTTTATATTGCAATTAAACTTTTGACCTTTATAAGAGAGCATTGATATATGGCTTCCCAGAATAGACCAGTCTATGCATTCCACATAATCACTAATTGCCTGAGTTCATGGAATATTCCTTTCCAGAAACTACAGTGACAAACAATGTCCTTTGTTAGGAATAACATCTGATGAGCTTGCAGCTGATTATTAGATCATCAACTTCACGCTTGATTTCCAAACAAAAGATGGCCTCATGCTCACTAATAAGGCTTGACACAATACCACAGTGTGCTAATAAGCATGGGACTTTGCTAGAAATGGTGCCTTTTTGCTCCTATAACTCCGTTTCAGCCATGTTATTTTCTCACAGCATTTTAATCAATAGAACCATATTAAATTATTTCAGCTCCAAGAGGCTGCCATTATGTTTTGTTTTTTATTTTATCACAAATGGAAAAAGTTTGTCATGGGCATTCAAGAGTGCAGTCGTCTTTGTGAACCATCATCACTTCCATAAATTACTCCACATTATTCAAGATAACTTTTAGGCATAGGCAGGCAGTCATAATTGTATCTAAAACCTAACGCCTCTTACACCAGGGATGTCAAACTTGATTTCATTGAGGGCTGCATCAGGGTTGTGTTGGGGGGGGGGCTGGGGGAAATGGTCAGATCAATGTCACTTGTATCAGGGGCACCTGTGGTGGCCCAAGGGCTTTGCCAGCAAAAACGGGCTCCCGAGCTCCATTTTCGGTTGCCTGCAACCTTCTGCCAGTGAAACTGAAGCTTGGGAGGGCTGAGTTTCGTTTTCACTGGCAGAGGCACTGCGGGCTGGTCCTTTGCTGTTTTGAGGGTGGCCCCATGGGCTACATCTAAGCACCCTGCAGGCCGGATCTGGCCCCCGGACCTTGAGTTTGACACCCCTGTGTTACATGTAATAAATGAAGCTAAATTTGCTTTTTATTCAGAAGTCATAGGTACACTTTGAAAAGCAAGACACAAGTATTTTTCAGACTTTTAAGGTTCTGTCTCTTCCACAGGGGAAAAATGTAAAGTGTGAGTAAATTTCATGCCCATTAATATATTGATTAATTTAAATTTGGAAAAGCAAGCATCTAGCTTTTTATAAAAAACACTGCCATTTTCTGTAAAATTTCAACAAAAAATGTAGTTCAAAATAATTTTCTTTAGATTTTTTGTTCATAGATCTTTATATGATATATATAATTCTGCCTGTATATCTTCCAAAAACAATTAAATGATATATCAATACCGTTCTCCATAATCCAGTCTCAGAAATAAAAAAAATCTACTTTTAAAAGTGGCTGGGAAAGGGCTACATTGCACACCAACAGTCTTGTTTCAATCTTTTTTTGCTAAACAAAAATAATTTCCTCTCAATTTTCTTAAATAATGTGCATTTTATGATCAATTTATTTATTCTATTTGTTAAGTTCTTAAAGCATTTTATTTGAAATTACTCCCAATTTTTTACATAGTTAAATCTATTAATAAATATATACATCCATACATCTGCAAAACTTCAATAAATGCTACATAAGAATCTAGATAAACTAACAAGATTAACACTCATGCTTCAAGTACTAATATATGTTTTGATTTTTCATTCTGTACTCAAAATTTAAAACAGAGAAATAATTTTGCTTATGAAAAAAACAGGAATGCAGCAAAATGGAAATAAATGCCTTAAGGCAGAATAAGAATGTAACAGGGCATTATGTATGGGACAAAGAATTGCGTGGCAGGATATGAGAAGATTCAAAAGAAGTAAAGAGACTGATAGATGAAAGAAACAGGACATTCCTACGGTAAAACCTGGGATGGAAAAAAAGACAAAAAAATGAAGACATACTATTTTTATGTCTTGACAAGGCAAAAGAGAAATAGTATTATGATCAATAACAATTTGGAACATAACAAATAATGTCTATAAAAATATTTGGTCTCAAAAGAGTAACCAAATAGCTAAGAAAAATAGCAAAGATAGCAAAATAAAATATTATCTGGGTAAAAAAGACAATGGACCTTGAGCACATGCATCTTAATTCATATCAAAAAAACTAAATAAAAGTGCAATTTTATTTATGTCTGCTCATAAATACGTATAATTGAATTTAATGGGATTTACTCTTGCTTTGGTGTGAATTAATTTGCAGCACAAGACAAACAATGTACAACCTTAAGGAATAATAAAAAGCATCAATATAGGAAGAAAATGAAATAAAAGTAAGTATATTGCAGTTTAATTTGAAGGCCAACCCAGGTGCATTCTAATTTCAGCAAAAAAAGTTATTCAATAATAACATGGGTTTTATAAACTACAGGGCAATGTTCCATCTTCATACAATGTTTATACAATGCCTTGTTAACAGGAGAATTATGGCTTGATAATAGAGTTTGAACTCAAAATTTTTCACTTACTCGGCAATCCCTTTGTAGTGTTTTCATCAATGCGCTATAGGTTTCCGAGTCAAAATATAATCCTTCGTGCAAATCTTGCAAGAAATCCAAGTCTTTAAATGTGGGGTTAGACTTCTCCCGTTCTTTTCGAGATGCTCTTCTTTTGTACGTAGACCCTTTCAAGTCGTAGTTGTAATGCATTTTCAGTGCTCGAGGCAGAACATTGTTCATCACAACTATCCTGATATTAATACCCCCCGACTGAACACAATACAGGCCATAAAATTTGGGTAACAGCGTCCTTGGGTTCTGGTTGAGATTCTTAAAAGAAACACAAAATATACCAATGAACATTTGCAATACCGTAACGCAGCAGTGTCCATCCTTGGCAACATTAAGACTTGAGGACTTCAACTCCTGGAAATCTCCAGCCAGCCAATTCTGGGAGCTATAGCACACAGGTCTTAAAGATACCAAGGTTGGACACTCCAGATCAGTGTTCTACACAAAAGTAAGTATAGATAGGCAAATCATTTCTATTTCAACAAATCATTTTTGGACCCACCACTAAAAAGTGTCCATGTGCTAATTCAAGCATTTTAAACTTTAGTTAGGTGGTTGTACTCTTAGGTCTAAGGCAGATTTCTCAAACTTTGCAATAACAATTTTACCTACTAAAATTATAAATTAAATTTATGCAACCTCTTCAAATAAAATTAATGATTGATTTTGTATAAGGGTTGGAGTAGAAATAAATATATTATTTTAATAATTTAATTCTAGTCTTTATATCAGATCAAACAATAACAGATCTTTATAACTTTACAAGATGGAACCACTTCATTGGGAATAAGCCAAAACATCTCCCTCAGTAATGTTTAAAACCATTTTAGTGGTAATGATAGGCTTTTCTCTTTAATTCATAAAATTTGGGTTTCATTCTGAAAACAGTGACTCTCATTCAACCAAAGAAATGGGGAGAAAAAAAACAGGAAGTTCCTTGCCCTAAATTAGCTTCTTTTAAACTACTTTTTAAAATACTACAGCTTGCAAAACACTGGATGTAAATTGCTTCTGGCCTTCTTTCTGCAGGCAACCACCCTAAGATAATAATCACAATTCATCTTCTTTTTCCCTTCCTGTCTATTCCTACAAATCCATTTTCCTACTCATGATTTTCTTCTTATACCTGTCCTCCCTTCCTTTACATCTAACTCTCTCCACAGAGAGAAGAGAGAAATTAAGAGTTTTACATAGGAGTCTTCTGCCCTCAAGCACATTACTCCATCTTTGAATTTTTAAAAAAAGGCTTAAAAGCAGGGGTGAAATCCAGCAGGTTCTGACAGGTTCTGGAGAACTGGTACTGGAAATTTTGAGCAGTTTGGAGAACCAGTAGTGGAAATTTTGAATAGTTCGGAGAACCGGCAAATACCACCTCTGGCTGGCCCCAGAGTGGTGTGGGAATGGAGATTTTGCAGTATCCTTCCCCTGCCACACCACCAAGCCATGCCCATCAAGCCACAGAACCGGTAGTAAAAATTTTTGGATTTCACCACTGCTTAAAAAGTTTTATATCAAATTGGTAAACCTGCCTGGAAAGGACTTGCAAGGAGAACAACATGCTTAAAGCTTGAGAAGCTAACATCTGGAGTAAACAATATGTGTTTCCTCCTCCTTCTTGGAATATGCCTTGGTGAAGACTGTTGGATTGTGGCTAAGTATTACTTGAACAGTGATTATTAATTAGAATGAATAATAACCATATTTCCCTCTTATTAACTTCAAATCCTGATTTAAAACTAAATTCGATTAACAAGAATGGAAAGTAATACAGTATAGCATTCATGTTATATTTAACTATAGCTAAGACAGCCATTAAGCAAATTTTGCATAGGTTCCTATAGACCAGTTTTAAGCTTTCAATCTGCAATAAATACTACACTGCCATCAATTTTTGGCTTCTAAAAAGATTTTTCATACCTAAAAACTGAATAACCAAGGAAACGGTGTTAAGCTTTGAAACAGAGAAAATAAACGATATACCTAACAAGCAAAACTTATAATTTGGTCCTTTAAGGGTAAATGATTTATCAATGAAACCAGATACAGAGGGATATCTATCAATATCATGATCAATTGTTCCACTTATTAAAGAAAGTTTGTCTATTAACCTCAATCTTATTTTTTAATTTCTCCTATTTATTATATGCAATATAATTTGATCACAAATTTAGAGGGTGAAAAGCCATTTTAACATTCACAAGAATACAAGCAAGAGTTGAACAAGGGAGTTCAACATACCCACATACACACACAGAAACCACATTAAAGAAGGGCATTAGTATCTTTACCATGTAGTAGCCAGGCAACAGTTTCTGAAGGAATTCTGCTTCTTTGTGTTGAACTGTTTTGATTATGAATTCATCATCACTAGTGACAAAGAACAAGGATCCACTGGCACCAGGATTTGATAATTCTATTAATGGTTCACTGCAAATTGAATACTGAATACACAAACAGAAATTTAATGCCAGTCTGGGAAATGGATATATAGAAATATGTTTTTAGGTACTTTATGAAAGTCAAGGAGACCTTTGTGTACCAAGGTCCTTGAAGCTAGCCAGACTACTCAACTGTGTCAGGTCTAATTTTTTTAAAAAGAAAAGAAACAGTAATAAATTCTTCTCTACGACATGGTATGCTACTTCTGACACAGCTGTTAGAACACCAAGTGTTATTGGTGCTGATTGAAAAGACTTCTTAGGAGGCTTTTTTTTTTTGTGCATAATTTATTGAAATATACAAACAAAACTTGCAAGGGGATATATATTGTCTTACACAATTCCTTTTGTCTGCAATACAATATATTGCTAACCTATTAAAAACTCCCCTGGTTAAATCACATAAAAACCTGAAAAGTCAAAACCTGAAAAATCTAACAATCTGACAAAATGGAATTAACTAATATCTCTGGGGGCAAATATCTTTAGTTATGTTTTAAGTCCATGTTTTTGAGGTTTATAAAAAACAGATTCAATCTTCTGTGTGTGGTGCTGTAAAAACTCAGGTCAAAACAGATCCCAGATTAATCCTATTTTTTCTCATTTGCACTTTTGTAAAAGTCAAAGGCAAATTATGCTTAAAGAGATTGAAACAATATAACTAACTGGGATGCATAACTTAAGAATAAATTATCTTATCACAAACAATACAGGTTAATGTGAATGAATAAAAGAAAGAATAAATGGCACATCAGGTTTAGAATACTCTCTGAACTGCCAATTTCCTTGGTTTTAGCTGCTTTATATTTTTGGAATATTAAACAGTATTCCTAGTTATGAATACTTCCTAACGTATTTTAAAATGTGCTCAGCAGCAAGAATGGCCATTGATGATGATGATGATGATAGCCTTTATTGTCATTGTACATCATGTATACAATGAAATTGGTTTAGCCTCTACTGGTGCAACCCTTAACAGAAAATAGAGAATAATCCTTATAAAAATAATTGGGGGGGTGGGCGGGATTGAGATATTCAGATATGAAAACTTATAGCTCTTTAAATTATAGCTCTTTTATCTGAAGAACTGATAAACTGAAGTCAGGAAGAAGTCAGCTTCTCACAAGATAATGTTTCTATATGAAATATTGTCTCTTTAATAAACTACATATTCCCAGGTGTACACAATTTATGAAAAGTTAAAGAGAATTTAAGGGCAGATTAAAAAGGAAAGCACAATGAGAAGTCAAAAGATGTCATCAAAAATTAAATTCTACAGTCAATATATAAAGGGTGCACCTGGTGTATTTTATGTTTTGAGAAAATTTTCTTGAGAATAGAATTGTTGAGGCTCAGATACGGCCATCAATGTTGCTTAAGCACTGATTTTTATTCCAGATTGAATAAATATTACTTTTTTTTTTTTTTTGCACTGTGCTCTAAAAAAATGAACACATATTGATATTGCACGGTTGTTCACTGATTCTTCTGACACAACTAAAACCTCAATTAAGGGGAATCTTATTTTGGCAGATTTCTAGCAAGAATCATGATGAAAAATAAATCATGAACTGCCCCTGAAGACGTCGAGAAGAAAGTTTTGTTATTGGCTGAACAGTCTAGATTTTTTTAAAAAGTGAAATTCTTCAGTTATATATACTTACAAATTTGGCATATGGTATAGCTAAAAGTTAATTAAACTTTGTTCTTCCTACTGGTTACATAGGAAGACAAAAAGAAAAAGAGGAATATGTAAGATCAGCACTTTAAAGCCTCTTTCCTGCTTGTCACACCCTATTAAATTATGTTTCAGCACTGCAACATAGATGTGTTTGTTTTACCTATTAATGCACTTAACAAAGTATATTTATGTTACTTAATGATGCATTACATTTTAATTCTATTGAAAACTATATTTTAAAAAGGTGAAATGACTTGGGAAAGGTGAGATTCAGAGGTTTTGCCAGCAGTAACTTACTGGCAATGAAACAACTTTTTTATCATTTTGACGAGTTTTGAATGTTATGCTACACTATTTATTAAGTGCCACATTAAGTATAAAAGAGAAAAGTTGGACGCTACACTGAGCTGCAAACACAATGCAAAACTGAAATATACTACAGCTCTTCTAACTATTCAGAACAAGCATTCAATAGGGATCTTATGGCAGCAGTTCCCATGGTTCACTCAGTGTTACATTTTGCTCTGTGCATGTTTGAAAGAACATTCTATAGCCATGATGGTGAACCTATGGCACACGTGCCAGAAGTGACATGCAGAGCCATCGCCCGTTGCTCTCCCGGGTTCCGGTGCGCTGGCCAGCTGGTCTTTGCACATGTATGTGTGCCAGAAACCGGAAGACCAGGTGGACGGTGCGCATGCACACACGCACATGCACTCCAGTTTCGGCAGATTTGCCAACACTGTTCTATAGGTTTCTTAATTTTCTATATAATGGTTATGTTTCCCTAAGGAAACATGTATTTATACATGTTGTTAGACAATTATAAGGAAATTAACGAATTACATGTCTTCACTAAAATTCAATCAGCAAAACCCACAGGGGTATTTAAATTCAATTATAGTATTTCTAGTAGAAATAATGACTTGAGTAGCAGCCACATCTCAGTTGGTGAACTGTCAATTAATAAATCAAATTTTAGGACAAGCAATTAAAAGCTGAAAATGGAAATGGTTAACTAACAACTCTATGCACTTCAGAATGTCTTAATAATGTAGGGGTCTATAACCCAATTTGTTATAGACTATCTTTAAAATAATTGTTGCTACCCTTTCTCCATTAAAAATAGATACACCGATGAGTGGAATTTGGTGTGTGAATCAAAGCAAATAATATTGAATAATTATCTTCACTATAATGTCAGATGCACTGCTCAATCCAATCACAAATCAAAGTTAACTATATTCTGTGCGGAAAAAGAAGGAATAAGTCTTACCAAGTAGTCATCAGGCTTAATACCAAAAAGTTCTCTGAAGTAACGGAAAGCTAGAGGAGCGTAGGTCTTAAATCTAAAGTCTGGATAATGATGAGCCGGAGTCAGATTGCTTCCTTCACTGAGTTGAAAGAGAAATTTAAAATATTATGTCTATACATATGCATTTACAGTATATACATCTTAACTTGAATTTTACTAAAAAATAGGAGCCTTTTCAAACTCTATTGTTGACTGAAGAATGAATTAATGTAACAGAATATGAAGATCAATCAATCAATCAATGGTTTTGGCTCCTTTTCTTCTAATATTATTCTTGAAGAAAATCAATGCCTTTAAAGATGTACAGGATTATACTGTGTTTCAGGCAACTAACATCTTCATCAAATGCTAATTATTAACATCAGCATCCCAATAACATTTCTCAGTAAAATACTTTACGTACTTCATTAAAATTTATACAGATTAGAAGTTTGAAGCATAAAAGAAGAACAGCCCTTTTTCAACCATATCAATATGTTACTAAAATGTCTTGAAAAGATCAAATTGAATTTATTTTTCATTCTGTTCTTTCATAGTTTTTGATTTTTACTCTTTAATTGCTTAATGTTTTAACAGATTATTTTCTTCTATTTTAAAGCATCTTTTCTGTTCTGCCTGAGAAGAATTGAACTATATAATAAGATTTCACAAACTATAATTTCTAACCACAGTCCATGGCCTTTCAAGGCCAACAGTGTGGCTTCCAAAGCCTTCCCAAAAGTTGCCATGTAATTATAATTTAACTTTTCAAAATGGCAACTTTTAAACTTCATATGCATTTTTCCTTAGCACACAGGTAGCAAAGCAACCTAGTTGAGCCATTCTTCATGTAGCCAAGTGAAGTTCTGAAGTTTTCAGTTAAGATATATTTTTTTCTGGATAAAACTATTTACCATTTCTAGCTTTTACTGACATTACAGAAGAAAACGTTAACTATTTAAGTGAACAAGGATTGTCAGTACAAATTTGTTTAAAGGTTCAAAACTCAGGAAAACCTAGCAATAAAAACCATAAATTTAAACTGCATGATACAAATGCTGTAGAAAAACTCTGCAAAGAGTCATACATTACACTATTAATGCAGCCTCATTTATGTGCTGTGCTAGGTTACATTATGTTATGTGTGGCTTCTTGTTATGTTTCTTTTTAAGCAAGTAGACTCAAAAATCCCAGAAAGTCAAGAGCAAACAAATCACATTCTAGTTTAGCTTGTTATGTAACATATTAAAAGATGTCTTAAAAGATCTAATTGCTTCTCTGAACTGTTCTGAAACCCTACTTTTTGTTCTAAACGTTGCATTTAGAATAATAAACTCTTATACCCAGAAACTCAGCAAATCCAAGTGTCAGTCCCCAAGATCACCTTAGGTTTGAATTCTGACATCAAGAAACCTGCAAGACTGTACTGTACTACCTTCCTAGAACATTAACAGTAATTATATTCTCTTGCCAAGCAAAAGACATTTATAAAGGGAAGGTTGCAGTCTTTGAGCAAAGGACTGAGAGAATAAGCATTTTTAGCTATTTGCTGGGTTCAGTTTTAAAACAGAATGACTTCAAAATAAAGTGATTAATTAAACTTTTATAAATCGCCTCAAAGGTACAAAATGTGAAACACATTGTATTTTTATGATTAACTCTTGTAATTTAATGTTACTTTCCTCAGGAAATCCAGATGTCTCTGCATTGACAATCATTATTTTAAGTTATTTGAGCTGTTGAATTTTTTATATCTGCAGGTGACAGATTTCAAAAATTACTATTTATCAAACTCTGCTTGGAAAAGGCTTTTCAAGAGAACACTGAATGCAATTTGAATCTCCAAAGTGTAATTTCATCTTTTATTACAAAGATTTTATTTCTTATGTTGCTAGTTTTTGCCTATTTTCTTCAAACAGGAGATAAAACCAACTTCTGAATTAATCTGCATCCCTTCTCCATGAAGAAGAACAATCACTTAAAAATATATTAAGTATTAAGCCATGCTCTTATGTTATAATGACTGTCAGTTGATGTGCTAAATATCTATACTGTTATATGACATTTAGTTGAAACCTTCATTACATTTTCTTTGGTATTATACAACAGGTTTTAGTATTAACATGTTAATTGAAAAATCTAAATAATATGTAATAATGTACTCTCCTCAAATATGCACTGAGATAGAGCTTCCTTAAATACAAGAAGAACTGACTAGAAATTTGGGTTTGTATAGACTTTAGAAAAATATCATTTTGTTATCTTTTCATGTAGATACTTCACATCATAAAACACCCATCATTTCCTCCAAATATAATAAGACAGCATTGAAACGGTTTATTTTCTGCTCTCCTTTAATATCCTCTGTAACTCTTCCTATTAAAATGCTGACTATTTAGAAAAGCAAAAATGAAACTCTACATGCATACGTATAATATCAGTGTGATAAACCTGTCAAATAAAAAAACTTATTTCTCAGAGTATATTTTAATCGTACATGACTTAAATTCTTTTATCAATTATTATAAATAGAATACTTATAAAAAAGCCTTGTCTGGAATTAATGCATAACACATTCTAAAGTTTAAGAATAAATTTCAATTTATTCTGGACATGATCTAACAAAATAATACAAAATTGTTCAAATGGACCTACAAAGATTTATATAGGCCCAGGAGAATTTCAACCAAATCTCACAAGTTTTCTTTTGATTGTTTTTTAAAGTGAGGTGAGTACAAGAAACATGTATTAACAATTTTGAAGGAAGACTGGTTATCACTAGAATTAATCAACAAATCTGGTAAATAATATTCAAGGAAATAAAAAATAATCATAACTCATCCTTTACCTGGGAAGAAACACACTTTCAACTACATAGAAATCTTGCATAAGTACATCTCTGTCTGGTTTAGATGTAAGGTTGCCCACTGTGTATCCTATTCCCAATTGTATGGCACCTTTGATAGCTGAAGATGCAGTCTGCAAAAACAAATGTATATTATGTTTAAAATTGTCATCTTGCAACACATGGTTTTTTGTTTTGTAATCTTCTACATTCTAAGAATATTTCAAAGTCCTGGTTTCCTCTACCTAAAAAACAAGTTGATTCCTCCAAGAGCATTTCTCAGATTTTGAGACAAATGATCTCAGTACATCATACAAGTCTACCAGAAAGATTAAAAGAAGCATTATTTGAAACTCATAGGTCACATACTGTATGAAAAGAAAGTTCATACCTCAAAAGCTGCCTAGTAGTGAGAGGGGGGGCAAAAATGAGCATTCCTCTGCCTGCACTCTCCCTTTTCACAGCAGATGGTCTACAACAGAAAGGAAGAACTCTGGAAATCTTCCAAGTGCTCTGGAATTCTAACAGCTCCCATAAATCATTATATAATTTAAGCAGGAGATGAAAAAAAGCAAAAAAAGGAGAACCTCATTTTTCCAATTATCATGCTCCTAACTTCTTCCTCTACTCCCCTTTCTTGCCCATTTGCGGGGAGCTCAGAGCCTGTAGTTTAGGAAGATGCTCACAGCCATGATGTTATGCAGCCACAGAGGAACGGGCAAAGCAGAAGAATGAACTTGAGTTTCTAATGGAAAGAATCAGCTGACAGGGCATCACTGTCCTCTGTGTAAGCCAATTATTACCACAACTATAGTGGCTGGATAACTGGTAAAGAAAGTAAATAGTTCCTGGGCTAAAATGCTACAGTGAAACAGTACGGAGGGTCCAATTGAACATTGTAGTTAATGGGCCAGGAAAGGAAATACTCAGGGGAAAAGAAAAACAGCCAGTTATTGTGTTTCTGTGAGTAAAAAAAATCAATATATAGGAAAATCAATATATAAAATTTGTTTTTTTCATGTCTAAATTTCAAACTGCGATGCTATTAAGAATGTGATGATGATAGCTTTTGAAAAAGAGAGATAAGGCAGAATTCTTATGAAAAAAAATGTCAATGGAGATTCTCAGTCATCTCTGAGTGAGATGGCTGTCACAAAGGTGCTTTTTCAAGAGGCAACTAGACTTTCTGGTAGAAAGTCCAGTTGCCTTTTGAAAAAGCACCTTTGGGACTTCTGAAAAAATATTTATCCGTAGAAAACTCTCAATGGTAGACAGATTACAAATATGTTATTTACTAGATGAATGCGTATGTTCTTCAGCAGTCTAATTATTCAGACTAATATAGAATCAATCTGGTTTTATTATAAATTTTTGAAGCTAATATGACAAGCATCTGGAAGTGTCTTCTCCATCTACAGTCAACAAAATTAAAATTATACACTTAATTAGATTGTAAAGGACTTCTGGCAGCCTGGAGTCATAAACTCTAGAAACACATAGTCAGAAGCCCAAATGAAAGGACTAGGCATTTCCTTCTTTTTTTTTCTCAGTCTAGTCTGATTTTATTGAACTTTTATAAGAAACAAAAGGCAGAAGTTTTAAGCTATCAACTGCTGCTTAAAGCTTCTATTACATCCTGGTTGCAGAGACTTAATTGGTGAGATTCAGTATTTCAAGTGGCAGAGTAGATTTTTTTTTTTAATATACTGTCCAATTTTATAAATCACACAATCTCAGCCTGTGAATGGCATGATAATATGAAATAGACAATACATTCTACTGCATTACACTCCTTCATTTTGTTCAAATCAACACATTTTGCTTCATTTGGGTAAGAACCTCCACAGTATCAACTCAAACATGTTCTTATTCAATAGTTATACTAAGTGGAAAAAAGAATCCACTCTTCATGAAATAAGCAGATATCTCTGCATTCTTACGATAAATTACAAAGACACCTTAAGTGGATTATAGATGGTTTCATAAAATGCATAAGAGTTTTGTTCATCTAATGAAGCAACAAAAGAGTAGTTATACTAAGTGGGGCCTTTGACTGGAAGTGTTTGTATGCAATTTGTCTTTTAATTATAAAAAATCAGTGACCACTGAATCTGAACTTGCAAACTATTTCTATCTAAAAATATAGAAGCAGCAAAACTGGAAATAAAGTAAGGAATTAATCCTCAAATCTATGCTTGCTTGTCATCCTAAATGTAAGTAACCATCATGTGACCTTTGAAACAATATCAATTAAAGACTTTCTACATGTGTGTCAACTCTTGAAATTCTAGTCCAAGATGTGTCAGCATTTTTTTACTGAAATTGGATGTCACATAAAATCCAGACCAGCTTGGAGCCTAAGGCTTCTTTCTCTGAAACCAGTTACCAATCAAAGAAAACAAAGAGTCAAATAAGAGGAGCCAAAACAAATTAACTCTTGAACTAATTAGACAAATTTCCTATATCTCTAATTTGCACAAAAAAGATACCACCATATGTGATAGTAGAGGATTTGCCTCCAAAGATTTGTTTTATATAGATAGGCAGATCATACAATCTTACTTGCTTTTCTAAAGATTTATAAATCTTTGCAATTTAATTCACCTGCAATGGAATATGTATGCAAACTAGACATCATGATGATAATAATTTTGTGCAAACCATTTAACCAAAGTTACATAATTTGGTGTGATAGACCAGAGAAGTTAATTCAGTTTGGAAATACCGTATCATGGATAAGCCAAGAATTTTAGGTGCCAACATGCACATGCACTCCTCTCTCCAAAAAAAGAGGTTCAATGTTTCCATGGATGGGTTTCTCTGTGATTTTATTAATATAATAATGTATATTGATACAGTAATACTTTTCAAAAATCCCTGTATTTGCAATATATATTTGCATGTAAGCCCATCAAGAGATTCTCAAAATTTAAACCAAAATATCATGAAAAATGCAGGTCAGCTTCTCTGCAGGTAATACATCTTTTTCTATAGTATTTTGGTTAAAAATTCTAGAGTTGGCTTATCTGTGGATGGACTTATACGTCAGCAATTACAGAACATAGTGTGTCAATCAATGCTGAAATGCTCCAAAGTCGGTTACTGGTTTGCTGCGCACGCACATGCGTGCTTCGCGAGCATGCGCACCGCAGGTGCTACCGCGCAGCGCTGAAAAAGGAGGCTTAAGAAGTCTTTACTAAGGTAAGTAGAACAGCGGGGGGGGGGGACATCTGTGCCACACTATTTTGAATATAAATCACACGGCATAGCTGATCGTCGGAAATACCAGTTCATCTGAACCGGTAGCATTTTTTTACTACCAGTTTTCCTGAACCGGTAGTTTTTATTACTACTGGTTTGGGTGAACCAGTCCGAACCGGTAGCATTTCACCCCTGGTCTCAATTATGAAATTGCTAAACTAACAAGCTTTACAATGTGATTATTAAGGCTGGTAAGCATTATTTATGACAGGAAGTCATAAATGTTAGTGGACATTTCATTTTTATTCATAAGGTAACAAAGAAACCCAAGAAGACAAGCCAGGTTCTTCTATACTGAGCTTATATTTTAGAAAAATCCTCCCCTTAAATCTTTAGTAACATGCAGAGGGGACTATATCTTATTAGGCAAACTTATTTCAAAGGATCATGTCTTAAATTATTGAGCTTAATTTATTGGAACATAAATTAACAATTGTTTATTGTTTCTGGATTTTGTTGTCTATAGATTTTTTAAATTCTGGATTGTAAATCACCCAGAATTTGGTTTGAGATAGAGTTATCTATCTATACAAATGTCTTAAATAAATAATTTTTAAATTTAAAACTATCATCTTGTACCTGATGGATTTAGATTGACTTCCCAAATCAATAAACTGCATCCGTTAACACAATGAGCAGTGACTGTTATTATTCCTAAAGTACAGTGCATGGAAAATGCTAAAAAATCTCATGTGTTTTTGTATAATTATGTTTTATTTTATGGATGACTAAATGTCAAATCAAAAATTTAAAAGTACCATGAGTCCTTCCTGTTTTCATACATCAAGTATTCTCAAAATAGAACAAAGCCTCTGTAAATGATGCAGTTACTGCTCGTGAGTATTACTACAGAATTTATAAAATTTATATAAATCAAAAAGAACAATGCTAAAGCATAAGCAACCACTTAGAAAGTGTTATAGCTGAGAACGGATCATTTAAGAAAAAGGAATAATCTTAAAATAGATGTAAGTTTTTATTAGTTTTTATAAAACAGGTTTTTATAAAAAAGAATTAAGATTGAGGAATCTTAATTCTTTAATGCCCTTTATTTTGTGTATTGCAAGCAAGTAATTTATTGCAATCATTAAAAATAAAAAACAATTATAATAACTTAAAACACAGAAAAGAAAAAGCAACAGATTTACACGTGCTCAAAATTTTGTGTGAACCAAACTGTTTTGTCTCTTAGGTTTGCATACTGATATTCCAACTCACTTTAAAATTAGTCAGCTGTTTTTAAAGGTGAAAATTCAGATGCATATTTTACTTCAAAGTTCAGAAGCCTGCATATTCATTAATATACAGTAACTCTGGGGACAGAAGCCCTGAAAAATTAGGTCAAAAATTCTTTTTGAGGATTGAAAAGAAAATCTGGGGAAAAAAGAGCTAAGATCAATTTCTTTCCTAATTATTCAGAGGGGTTTTCCCTGCAGGTTTTCTAGAAAACAATCTACAAACTGGCTCAGTGCATTAGTTTTAGTTTACAGAACTCCAACTTCCAAGTAATTACCTCTTCCTAACCACCTTAAACTTTACAGAGTAAATACAGACTTGATTAAACAAATATTAGCTTCCATACAAGAGTGAGCAACTGCATCATATTTGCTGAACTGTGGGGTATGCTGCAACAGTGCAATATTAGCAGTAATGAAAGGGAGATCTCTTCAGAAGAAGACTTCATTCTCTTAAGCCTAGAAATAGCTCTCGCTGTTAAATTAACAGTAAGCCAAAAATATACATCACTAGACATGAGCTGCTGCCTCAAGACTATGATAGAATTAGGAGAGCCAAATCATTCAAGAAGCTTAGAATGAACTTTAAATAGTTATTAATCGGGAACAAATGTGAACAAATCAATGGAAGAGAGCAA